ACCCTAAATCCTAAAACTCTGAACCCTGTTTTGAGTGGTCTCCGGTTCCAAGATCCCTGGCCAGAGCCACACAGGCGATGTCAACGTGCGTGCGAACCTGCTGACGTTTTTCTTGCTCAATTTTGGCCTGGAGATAATCTTTTTGGTGGTGCCCCTGCTGCTGTCTTTCTGGGAGGTTCGGAAGGCCCGCCGTGAACGAGAGCGGGAAGCTATCAACGAAGTCCAAACTTTACTAAACCCTGCAAGCCCCCTTCCACCCTGCCCTCGGCCATAAGCCCTGAAAAAGTGCTGTGCCCAACCAGGAGTACTGGAAGGTGCAGCTTCGCCACAGGCAAGCTGCTTCCGATGATTCGTCCTCCGAAGAGGAGATGGCACCATACTCCTTCTTGCAGCTGGGCTTGGGGTTGAGTTGAAGGCCAAGTACATGCAGGAGCACGAGCAGTCGAGCAGGATCGTCAGCATTCTCATTCTCCTTCTCGTCCCCTCCTCCTCCTAATCACGATAAGCGCAAGGGTTCGGGTTCCTGGGCTATGTAGCGGTGGCTGTAGTCTTGAGCCAGCCACGGTCCTGGCCTTGTTGTTGTCAGTCTTTGACTGTCTTGCGGTCCTTGTTTCTATTAGAGCCTCAACCCAAGGCTCGTAAGAGGGCCTCAGGGACATGCGACAATGAACTTTGTCTGTAAGCAGCTAAACCTTCAGTCATGCGAGAGGAACCCTATCCCCGAAAGCAGCAAAGGCAGTGGGAGGCCAAGAAGTTCAAGTATGAGTTCAACTCCTGGGGTGGCGACAGGATACGTGGCCAGGGTCTGCTTTTCGTTGCCTGCAGGGGATCGGCTTGCTGTAGCGGTGGGATTCTGTGTTGTCTCGGCGTTTTTGGGCTTGCTGGCGGCGGGAAAGCCGGTCTTGAGTGCAGCGTTGCACCGCCCTGAAGCGGCTCGTTGCGAAGTGCGCTTGTCGAGGATCAACGATTTCCTGGATCTCGCCATCAGCTACTCTGTGGCTCTGGCCGAACTTACGTCTGAGCATCTATCTTCGAGTGTGAGGATCGAGCTCCACTCTAGACCTTTCGTCCTGTGGGCCGTTCTCAGGCCCTTGCTGCGAAAGGGTTGGCACTTGACATTTTCAATCTGCCGGCCTTACCCTATGACTGCACAGCCTTGACCCGAAAACCAGCTTCTGCGGTCAGCCACATTTGCAAACAGCTGGCAGTAGGACAAGACTGCACAAGCATTTCGACTATTAACTTTTGAAGCAGCTTCCGTCTTTATGTTGTGAGAAAGGCGGCCTGGTTCTGAACCGCCGCATTTTTCAGGGGATCAACGGGCCTCGAGTTAACAGCGAGATGCAAGCCCTCCGCCTTTGGGTGCTCAACCCCAAACCCAGGCGTCTAGGGTTGCCAGACCGCTTCGTTTGGGTCCAAACCCCTACCCAGAAACCCACAATTGGGGACTAAGTCGAGGGCCGACAACTTGCTCTTCAATCTTCGTTTCCTCTAGTGAACTCTAGTCCGTGAGCCGCTGGCCATTTCCGAGAGTTTTCGGGGAAATGCACAACCGATTAACATAGATTTGCATCATAGCTGCTACTGTGTGCATTTAAGTATATGTATATACGAACAAATCGTAGATACTTACATACCTACACGTACACTAGTACGGACGCACATGCAGACATGCATACATATTCACATTCGCACACACACACACACATACCATGCCTACACACCTACATAGCTACGTAGCAGCACTCCTGCTTAAATGTAGAGCTACATACATGACTCTGCACGAACTTCAGAGTCCTGCAGTCTCGAAGAATCCTGATCCCAGGTGGTGGCTTGCTGGGGCTCCATCTGCCCGCTGTTGTTTTTCATGGCCATCGTTTTTGTGAGCTTCTCCCTGCGGCTTCGCCTCTACAGGAGCGCCCTCTTTGCTGTGCCTCGGTTGTAGTGTGCACCAGCGGGTGGCCCTAATCGCTGAGCCCTGGTGGATGCCGCCGTTCCATCTTGTCGAGCTTTCAGAGTTGCAAAATCAGCAGGGCTCGCAGGGCACCTGGTGAAAGGGCAACGCCCAAGAAAACTGTGCGAAAATCGGTGATCGTGACTTGTAGCTTCCACATCAGCCAGAGAAAAGGTGGCCGCCCCAGGCGACGGCAAGAGGATAGTAGGACTTCGCCACTTTGAGACCGTGCGGTCGGAGGAGCATCAAAGAATGACATCACAGGACGAAGCTTGACGAGGAAAGCTGGACATCAAGTCTTCGCATCCCCAGAAAAACAATCATCGGAATGAGTCATTGAAAGGTCCGGTTTTGTTTGGTTGATGGTGCAGTTGCCATGCCGCAAAACCTTTCAAGCCTTTCGTAGGTCAGATTCGTGGACGAAGCGAGCGGCTTATTGTCTCTGCGGGTCAGCGCCATGGAACGGATGCGAGGTTTGCAGGAGGCGCGCTCCTGCTTTCGTCCCGGGTGTATCGGAATTCACAGGGGTGCTTCTGCTTGCTAGCGAAGGAGGCGGCACGCAGCACCGACCTGAAGCGTGCCATTGCTGCTCGCGAATTCGTTGAAGGCTTGCGTGAGGAATGTGAGGTTGGAGCCATGAGTCGACAGAATTCCAGCCCAGTGAGCACAAGCTTGCCGTCACTATTTGGCAGCCCGCAGGCTGGGGAAGCGACAACTTTAGCTGGCCAGGGCCTGCACAAGGAAAGCCCGCGGCCAATCGCGACGCAGTTGCAGCTGCCGTTGGGCTGCCTGCAGCGGTCGTCGCAAGAGACTGGTGCAGAGGAGCCTGGAGATCTGACCAGGTTGCAAAGTCACTTCGCACGGAGGACGGCTTCGAATCCATCCACCGACAGTCGCAGTAGTGAGAGTTCCGATGGCTCCGGTCCTTCAGCTCAGCTGCAAGAGGGCATGCGACGAGGTCGGTCCCCACCGTCGACTGGGAGGTGGTGCGGGCGGCGGCCCGAAAACACCAGCAGATGAAAGCTGCGTGCCTGTACTTCCGGAACAAGAAGCGGGCGGACCTTCCGCTGGCCAGGCAGCCAGGACCTGCGCTGGATGGACGCCTGACTCATAGGCCAGCCCTCTGCCAGCAAAGTCTGTAACAGCCCAGCACACGTGTGATGCCCCACACCTTGCAGACCTTGCAAGTGTTGTTTGTACTCGACTGGGCGTCACATGAGTCACCTAGCGCTGTTGCAAGCGAAACCTTGAGACCTGATCTGGCAAATTCGAGATGTGCGAGCATAAACCAGCCCCAACCATTGCAAACATGGTATTGGCATCTCCTGCACTTTGCCAATCAAGCCCATCTCTCTCTGGACTGCCTGCTTAGCTTCCAGATTCCGGAAGCTTCAATGTCGACAACAGCAGTGGGTTTTCCTGAAGTGTTCTCAAACATTCTCAAGTCAGTAGTTGCAAACACTGCAGCAGCTGAGGGATCTGAATAAAGTGCGCTGCAGCTCTTGGTTAAAAAAATTCCCGATGCTTGTCCGTGGCACCAAGGACCGAGCTATTCGCACCCACCGTTTCAGCTATGGTTCCTAACAGAGCGATTGCGAAGCCTTGCATGCAGGCAGACACATTTGCACGACAGGTATGCTGTTGTATCAGAAACAGAGACGTAGTTTTCCTTACAGAATTTAGAATAGTCACACATCGAGATCTTCGCAATTCACCAACCCAGATGCACATGCCGCACCTGGACAACCGGCAGCAGTGGCAGTGGTGACAGTGGTAGTGGTAACGGTATAGAGGGAGTGGGGCAGTCAGTGGGTAGTAGATATCATCCAGTGGCTGTCGTCGTCATCGTCGTCGTCGTTGTCGTGGTGGTGGTGGTGGTGGTTGTCGATGTCGTTGTCGTTGTTGTTGCTGTTGTTCCACGGAGCCTCTTTTGAGCCTCAGCTTTTCGGGAGGATGCTCTACGTCACCCGGCGGCCTTCGCCCCGGGCGAGCGCAGGCTTGGGGGTGTGGAGGCACGGAGGTTGCGGGCTTGGGGTTTTAGGGTGGTAGCCTTTGCGGCTTTTAGGGTTAAGGGTTGTGACTTTGAGTTTCTGGTGCTTGCAGTTTTGCATTTGTTGGACTCTAGTGATCTAGAGGGGTTTTCCGGCCCCAGTTAAGAACGCCGGAGTAATCGCCCGGCTTCGCCTATAGCCTATTTCCTTCTTGAGGAACATCTTCAATGCCATCAATGTGTTCGCCGTTGGGGCCAATGTTGGGCTTTTCACGGTGTTCTTCTACCCGATGAGCACGTATTCCTTCGGCATGCAGTTGATTTGCTTCATCATCGCAGAGCACGCAGTGCTTCTCCTGCAGGCGGGGATCCAATTCGTGATTCCAGCAAGGCCGGCTGACGTCGTGTCCATCGAGTACTACAACAAGCACGTTAAATACTGCCATCAGCTCACCGAAGTGAGTCCGAACGCGCGGACGTCTCTCAACCACATTGCCCTCCCCCTTGTCCCAGATGGAGCCCAGGCGCCTTCATCGGGAAGTGACAACGACTGTACAGACGGATGGTGTTAACGAAATGCCTGTGGCAAAGCTCCATATCGTTTCATCGGCTTACTGTAGGATCTTGGAAAGAGTGTTCCTACGAAGAAACTCCAAACAGACCCCACCTGCTTGCGAGAAGAGTGGCCGCGTGACACCTGCTTGCCGACTGTCTCGGGATGCTTTTCCGTGAGACTTCGTCGCCTGTGCCTAGGACATCGGTCTTCCGGCTTACACACGTACACGGGGGTTTCAGAAAATAGGGGACCCGAATATAGTACCCCACTTAGTAGGATCCTTATTATAATGGCCCCAACACAAGGTACCCCTAACTTTCGGAAACTCCCACACGGTCATCATAGGCATCAGTTCGTGAAGACCGGCCATCCCAAGCCCGAACTCCCGCAAAGCTGCTCGGCCTGGAGCTCCCGATCCGAAGATCTGCACAGAGCCCAAGGCAAAGGTTCATCTGAAGCCCAGAGCTAGGAGAATCCTGAGACCCTGCCTCCCACAGCAGGTCCAGTGGGTCGGGGAATCTCACGGTGGTGAGGCAGCTGTACCTTGGCCAAGATGCTTAGAGTCTACAGGGGTCCGAGAGTGTGCTGGTTCGTGTGGGAGTCAAGGCTTCCAAGCCGAAACAGGATGTGCCGAAGAAGCCTTTCACGATTCTTGTCTTTTCAAGGATATGACCTGTTCTGGCTTGATCGATTTTAGGGCTTCAGAAGCATTCTAGCATTCTGAGGGCTGGGGTGGTTTGGTAGATTTGAGACTCTCGACGCTACGTATCCGCTGTGTTCACGAAGCCCGAATTCCTGACTCCCATCGCCCTTCTTGTACAGATGATAGCTACGTCTTGTCAGCAGGTAGACGAGGGGGGCTCATAATTTTGCGTATAACCTGGCTGAGTATTTTGATCCTGGAAAGAAGACCCTCCACCGTAATATGGACCGTGCAATAAGGCCCGGCTTGACCAAACCCGAAACACCCGTACCCATCTCGGAAGCCCACATGCTTCAGAACCCCACCAAACCCTGAACCGAGAACCCCAAATCGCAGAGGCCTGCGTGAGTCACTAGACATCCCTAAACCCCACACCCTAATTTGGGAACGTTGAAAACATCCCTAAACATGAACGAAAGTCCACCAAAGGCCCAAACCCCTTAATCATCGAAGCAAAGCCCTAGAACACCAAATCAAAGCTGAGTCGGACTTCAGGTCTGCTCCACCCCGGAGACCTTTGAGGACCTCGCCGCCTTGCTGGGAGTGCAGCCTGCCCTCTTGGAGGCAATCTGAAAAAGGGCTTCCTTCAAGCGAGAAGTCAACGACACAGCAGTTTTCTACTGAACATGTTTCTGCTCGTCCATCTCCTGGTGCTCTTACCATTGTCGTTTGCCACGGCTGTGGCCGTGGCCGTCGTTCCATTGCGTCTCAGCTTGCTTGCTCATTCTTGGTTATTGCCACTCTTTCTTCTTTTCCTTATTCTTTTCTGCTTGTCTTTGCTTTGTCGTCTTTTCTTACTTCTTGGTGATGGGGCAGCCAGGGAGGTGAATGTCCGGCTCGTTATCCTGTAATCCTAAGCCGACTGCATCCGACGTGGCTTTCTATCGCCTCCAGACTCTTAAGCTCCCAAGCCAAGGGAACTTTTGCTCGAGATCTCTGGACCGAGCTATTCGCTGCAGGGGTCTCTCATATTTTCCAGCAAAGGTTAAGTCTGAACCCTGCAGCAGTGCCAGCTCCCCCCAGCCCGAAACGCGTTGACCCTGCACCCCGAAGCCCGGATGCATGCGCGTGGCAGTGCAGGTGGCACTCAGCACCAAGAAGCGGAAGATGCATGGTACTTAGCATCATGTGGAGATGATCAGGTGTGATGGATCCTTTAGCTCAAGGGTAAGGGTGTTAAGGATTTAGTTTTTTTGTTTTTTCAGGTGATTGTTAAAGTAGTTCCTGCACCATCGGGACCCATGCCCGAGAGAAGTCCCCAGAGAATGGTTCGAAAAGCACGGAAGTTGTCATTATTCTGCTTCCATGAACTACTGTATCGGCTTCTACTGTGCTTGACGAAGATCATACTGCCTCGTCATGAGTTTGATGTTTCATCTCGTTAATGGCCAGCACATGTGCACATACATAATGGTATATATATATATATATATATGTCTACACACATGTATGTATGTATGTATGTCTGTATGTATGTATGTATGTACGTACGTATGTATGTATGTGTGTATGTATGTATGCACGACATAACATGATCAGCAAGAAGGGAAAGTAATGACGATGAGTTCTCTGCTGCAAAGGCTCAAGGGCTTCTGAGCCTTCGGAACCAGTCCAGCCTTCAGACCCTTCAGAGCCTTCGGAAGTCGGGGCCCCAAGCCCTGTGACCTTGCTTTCAGCAAGGCCGCGGGGCTCCATCGTGTCCTCTCCGCTCACGCCGGGAGCCCGAGAGCATTGAGGAAAGTCGTAGAGGGTTTGGGGTTTAGGATTGCAGGTTTCCGGTGCTGGGCTTGAAGGTTTAGGTGTTCAGGTTTAGGGTTCTATGGTATTTCAATGTATTTCAAGCTTTCTTACATGTAGGCCTGCTGGCGGTTCAGCAGTTCAGCTTTGCCTAAGATTCCTGAAATTCCGGTTGCATTTTCTTCAGCCCAGGCCCACCCAGGCTGCGGAGCTGACCCAGTCCATCGCGCGATCCTTGTACGAGGCCTTCGGCGAACACTAGCCACAGGAGTTGGGGAGTATACACATCGCGACGGGAAGGACCACAGCGCTCGTAATGCAGGTCGTCTGTCATGCGTCGTGTGAAGATGCGAAGTTCAGCTCGTAGGGCTTTTCTGGCGTGCTGCATAAGACAACCTGACTGCCTGGTGTTTGCGAGTGGAGCACGTGTTCGGTCAGATGGAAGAAGCACGAAGAAGCAGACTGCGTGCTTTATTTCAGAAGATACCTTGAAGCTTGCTGCAAAGAGCATGGTGTGTCAGCATCTCGAGTTGAAGTCTGCTGACAACCGGAGTACGTGTCCGACTTATACATACTCTGCGTCACCTCCTGGCCTTACACTCACTTCTACATCATCGATACTGATGGGGACTTGTACGAGAGCAGAGTTGCCGAAGCGGAGACCTGCGAAGGCTATTGGAACAAATTTAGCATCACATGGCCAGACGATGCCAGACGTTTCCGTATCTCCCGAAGCCCCGCATAGGAGCATGGGCATGCCCAACTATAGGGTTTTGCAGCATAGAGGTGATACGAGCTGATGATGCGAATCGACTGCGGCATGCCATGAATTCACATTACAGCCTTTTTCGTGAGTGGCATTGTGACATTTGACAGCGCAAGAGTTGCAACAGGCTCGGATTTGAAGCATGTGTTGGCGTTTGGAAGATACGCATGTGCGGGAGATGGTGACGTGCGGAGCTTGGCTCGTGCATACTTGCTCGCCACCGCCATCACACGTACGTAATCCCCACACGGGCGCGCTGTGGCGCTCTGGACTCACAGAAAGCGGCTTGCGCCGTGAGGCACCAGTGTGGAGGAAACCGTCGAAAGCGGCATGGGCGATGCAAGCGGTGTGCAGTTAGGACCTACTTCTGCTTGACAGCGATTTGGCGTGCCTGCCTTGGCTGAGGAATGCTGAGGCTGTCAAGCCCGGTTGAGGCCGTCGGTTTGTGTTGGTAATGGTGAGGTCGCTCGCCACCTGCGAGTGCCAAACCCGCGTTCTTCGGAAGCGCAACGGCTCAGGAAGCGGCCTGAAAAGCTCAAATCCTCAACCCACACAGAAATGAACGCCAAGCCCTGCAACCCTGAAGCCTGAATCCTAAACCTGAAACCCTTAACCTCTAAAGTCTCTAAAACCTAAATTCCTGAACATGTTCTAGGGAAACAAGAACGCGTAGAGAGGCACTCTTCCTCTGGGCCGTGCGCCTGATCAACACCCGCAGCCGGGGAGGTGCACCCAGGGGCTTCAGTTTCCACGCACTTGAAACTGTTATACGGTCTTTGTGAAGGTTTTGGAAGGGTCCTATCTGATTTAGACGATGGGAGAACTTTAAACTTTCTGACCTTATGCCTTATGCATCTTGGTCTAGTTTTTTAAAGATAGAACTTTTTTAGGCCGCTTATTGAACAAAAGAGAGCTATACGGTTTTCAAACCGGCGTCCAGCGGATTGAAAGGGTTGTATGAGGGTTTTAAACTGGTTCTGCAGAGAGGTTTCAAAATGGATTTACATGGCTTTGCTAAGGAAATCGCAAACCATTTGATGAATTTCTGCTATCACGGCTTCACAAGGGTTCCAGAGAGGCTGTCTTTGACCATAAGATCAAGCCAGAGCAGCAGAAGAGGCTGGCAGGAGAGAGTGTGCCCTAAGACAAACCTTGCAAACCAGAGAAAACCTCGGAGGTGCGGCCACATCGCCGAATCTGCCGCCGTCGTCTCGGCAGGGCTTGCAATTCTGTTTGGGCTCTTGTTTTTTTTTGGGTTTAGGGTTAAGGGCTTTATCGGATGCCGAAGTCACACACGTGCGCCATTCAAAGATTGCAAAGCTCGGGCCACTCTCTAACGCCTTGGACTAGATCCATCATGCAACCCTTGACGCAGAGCTTCAGGCGTAAGGGTTCTCCATGTTCTCGGCCGCCTTGCTGCGCTGAGGTTTGCTGGCGTCTTGGACATTTTCGGTTTCGAGGCATTGCTTTGGGCTTGCAGGGGTTGAGTCGGGGTTGAGTTTTGGTATTTGGTTTATGGGGTTCGGGGCTTGATGGCTTGATTCTTTTTTCTGAAGAGGGCGGGGGACGTTTGTTACCATACACGGTGGGATGTGATGATGCTTTATATTGCAATGGGTTGGTCTGCGGCAGCGTCCAGGGGATGACAGCAGCAGCTGCAGTTAAAGCACGTGAAACCTCTTATTTAGGCCGGGTTCTTGGAGAAATTGTGACGGTTGTTCCTAAACCCTAAACCCCTAAACCCCAAACGGTCCGACAGCCGTGATTTGAGTTCTCGTGAAGAGGATATTGCCAAGAGGCCTTCAAGCACAACTCGCTGGAGCAGCTTTTCATTAACTACTGCAACGAGCGCCTGCACCAGCCCTGGCCTAAGCTTCGAGCTGTGCTTGGAGGATCATGGTAGTCAGCTAGGTTACAAGTACCTTAATTGGGGTTATAAGTAACTGTACCTTAGCTATAACCTTACTTACTAAGTCCCATGATCCTCCAAGTGGAGGTTGTCCAACTTGAAGGTTTGGTTGCGGCTGTGGCTTGCCACAGGGACAGACTCGAATTTCGGTTTGGTCCCTTACCAGAGCCACGGCAGAACAATACCTCCTATGACGGTCGCCGGCTGACAGGCCCTGCGGGGCATCTGCTTTCGGCATTACCCAAGGGAGGTGCATTGTGTGTGTGTGTGTGTGTGTTGGCGTCCTGCCGAGTACCGTCCATGCGGTCAGAAGAGCTGTCGCACTTTGCAGTTCTCACTAAGACATGGACCTGACAGATGTGTCTTGGACTCCGAGGGCCATTGCAGCATTCCAATTCTCCCTGGCTCTATCAACCACTACGAACAACCCTCGATCAACAGCGGGGGAAGGATTGGCCTGCAACATATGTCTCTGGCACGGGATGTGGGATGATGGAGGGCCAATGGGTGAAAAGTCTGCCCTTTCAGCCGTCGCTTGCCACAGGGACAGACTGGAATTTCGGTTTGGTCCCTTACCAGAGCAACGGCAGAGCGATACCTCCTATGACGGTCGCCGGCTGACGGGCCCTGCGGGGCATCTGCTTTCGGCATTACCCAAGGGAGTTGCATTGTGTGTGTTGGCGTCCTGCCGAGTACCGTCCATGCGGTCAGAAGAGCTGTCGCATTTCGCAGTTCTCACTAAGACATGGACCTGACAGATGTGTCTTGGACTCCGAGGGCCATTGCAGCATTTCAATTCTCCCTGGCTCTATCAACCACTACGAACAACCCTCGTAGGGGAAGGATTGGCCTGCAACATGTGTCTCTGGCACGGGATGTGGGATGATGTAGGGCCAATGGGTGAGAAGTCTACCCTTTCAGCCGTCGCTTGCCACAGGGACAGACTGGAATTTCGGTTTGGTCCCTTACCAGAGCCACGGCAGAACACTACCTCCTATGACGGTCGCCGGCTGACAGGCCCGCGGGCCATCTGCTTTCGGCATTACCCAAGGGAGTTGCATTGTGTGTGTGTGTTGGCATCCTACCGCGCCGCGTACCGTCCATGCGGTCAGAAGACTTTGCAGTTCTCACTAAGACATGGACCTGACAGATGTGTCTTGGACTCCGAGGGCCATTGCAGCATTTCAATTCTCCCTGGCTCTATCAACCACTACGAACAACCCTCGTAGGGGAAGGATTGGCCTGCAACATATGTCTCTGGCACGGGATGCGGGAGGATGTAGGGTCAATGGGTGAGACTTCTATTCTACCCTTTCGGCCGTCGCTTGCCACAGGGACAGACTGGAATTTCGGTTTGGTCCCTTACCAGAGCCACGGCAGAACAATACCTCCTATGACGGTCGCCGGCTGACGGGCCCTGCCGGGCATCTGCTTTCGGCATTACCCAAGGGAGTTGCATCGTGCGTGTTGGCGTCCTACCGAGTACCGTCCATGCGGTCAGAAGAGCTGTCGCATTTCGCAGTTCTCACTAAGACATGGACCTGACAGATGTGTCTTGGACTCCGAGGGCCGTTGCAGCATTCCAATTCTCCCTGGCTGTATCGACCATTACAGTACGAACAACCCTCGTAGGGGAAGCATTGGCCTGCAACATATGTCTCTGGCACGGGATGTGGGATGATGTAGGGCCAAGGGGTGAAAAGTCTACACTTTCAGCCGTCGCTTGCCACAGGGACAGACTGGAAGTTCGGTTTGGTCCCTTACCAGAGCCACGGCAGAACAATACCTCCTACGACGGTCGCCGGCTGACAGACCCTGCGGGGCATCTGCTTTCGGCATCACCCAAGCGAGTTGCATTGTGTGTGTTGGCGTCCTGCCGAGTACCGTCCATGCGGTCAGAAGAGCTGTCGCATTTCGCAGTTCTCACTAAGACATGGACCTGACAGATGTGTCTTGGACTCCGAGGGCCATTGCAGCATTTCAATTCTCCCTGGCTCTATCAACCACTACGAACAACCCTCGTAGGGGAAGGATTGGCCTGCAACATGTGTCTCTGGCACGGGATGTGGGATGATGTAGGGCCAATGGGTGAGAAGTCTACCCTTTCAGCCGTCGCTTGCCACAGGGACAGACTGGAATTTCGGTTTGGTCCCTTACCAGAGCCACGGCAGAACACTACCTCCTATGACGGTCGCCGGCTGACAGGCCCGCGGGCCATCTGCTTTCGGCATTACCCAAGGGAGTTGCATTGTGTGTGTGTGTGTGTTGGCATCCTACCGCGCCGCGTACCGTCCATGCGGTCAGAAGACTTTGCAGTTCTCACTAAGACATGGACCTGACAGATGTGTCTTGGACTCCGAGGGCCATTGCAGCATTTAAATGCTCCCTGGCCTGCAACATATGTCTCTGGCACGGGATGCGGGAGGATGGGGGGTCAATGGGTGAGACTTCTATTCTACCCTTTCGGCCGTCGCTTGCCACAGGGAGAGACTGGAATTTCGGTTTGGTCCCTTACCAGAGCCACGGCAGAACAGTACCTCCTACGACGGTCGCCGGCTGACGGGCCCTGCGGGGCATCTGCTTTCGGCATTACCCAAGGGAGATTCAACCTGTAATGGTGGGGCTGTCGCTATGGCCAACTGCCGGGTCTTGTGCTGCATCTGCTTATCGCAGCACCCAGGGGAGATGTATCCTATTGTGTTGTGGCGGACACACGCTAACCTCTTCCGTCAGCGATGTTGACGAGCCGGTGTTCACAGGGTATAGACTGCAAAGCATAATTTGCTAGGTTACAGCTTCTGGGGCCTATCCGACAACAGCGCTGCTATTGAGCATGCAGTAGAATTTCTGTGTTGAATCAATCGCCAGCAGACGAAAGAGAGTCAGCACAATTACTCCCGAGGGCCAGATTTTGGAGGTTGGAAACGTTCAACGAAGTAATCGCCTACTGTGATTGAGTTTTCAAGTTGCAAGCAGAGAATGAGCATTTGGCTAGTGACCTCTCTTTGCAGTCTCCCAGAAGCAGGCTGGTCCTTAAATGAACACTCATGACCACCCACCCCGGGCCACGAACAACCGAACCCAAACAAAAATCCTGAAGCTGGAAAACTTGGAAAACCGTAAACTCGAACAGCACATAAAACCTCAAACCCTGACCCCAAACCCTTAGCCTTGTAGTACCTCTTGTAATACCTCTTACCGGACCCGTAAACATCCGTGTGATATCACATGGCCCGAAGCCCTAAACCCGAGTAGCCCGCAACCCTGTGCCCGAGTAGCCCTAATCCCCAAGCCCTGAACACCCCGTAGCCCTAAAGCCTAGACCCCGAACCTGTAAACCCGAATAGCCCTAGACCCCCTAGACCACTACCGAGTAAATTATAGTATAATATATTATTATTCATATTAATTATTATTACTATTGTTATTACTATTATTACTACTATCATTATTACTATTATTATTATTATTGTTACTATTATTATTATTATTATTCTTATTACCATTATTATTACTAGTATTATTAGTATTATTATTACTATTGTTATTATTATTCTTACTATAATATGAGGTTCTTTATCGAGGCTGCCTTCAAGCGGGAGCAGGCCCCCGGGCTATCTGGCGGGGGTTGCGGCTCCTTTCGGGGTTCCCAAAATCGGAAGCCTTAGGGTTTAGGGTTTAGGGTTTAGGGTTTAGGGTTTAGGGTTTAGGGTTTGGGGTTTAGGGTTTAGGGTTTAGGGTTTAGGTAGGTGGGATTAAGGATCCCTTCTATAAGGACTCTTATTTGGGACTATCACACCTACCTTCATCCTACCTTGTGAGGCCCCCAACAAAAGAGTCCTTCCTGTAAGCGGCTCCGTAAGGATTCGGGAGTCGGTTTGGCGAAGTTTGAGGGCTCGCTTCGCGGCTTGTTGGGGGTTCGTGTAAGGCTTTCTATGAGGATTGTTACTGCGAGGGTTCTTATGAGGGTTTCTATAAGGGATACTACAAGTTTGCCAGAACGGTTATGAGGGCTCCTAGGAAGCCAGTTACGGCCACTTCATGTCGTCAGCCGCCCGGATGTCAGGCCATGTGCGAAGAGGAGGGCATCACCATTACTCTGAAGTTCCAGGACATCTCCCCTAAACCCTAAACCCCAAAACCCTAAAAACCCTGAAGCCCTTAAGCCCTGAACCCTGCAACCCTACAGCCCCCCACAGCCCGTGGACTCGGCTTCATAAGGGAGTCTGCAGGATGAGAGAGTGCCTAAAGGCGCAAAAAAGTATACCGTGATGAACGCTAGATGCCTGCAAGGTGTCCCAAAACCTTATGTATTCATTGGCTTTTAGACACATATGTGGAAGATGGAGATTTCGTGCCAAGGGGTCCTATTGATGTGGATAGCTTCTTCCTGACGGTGAATCTGCAGGACAACGCCCACATCTTGGCTGCCATTGATTGCCAGGCATCTGCAATTGGAATTCACGGTGTGTAGGACTTCGGCCCGGGCAGACCCAAGCCCCAACATCCCGGGCGTGTTAAGCTTAAGCCTTGCAAGCCTGGAGCCCCACGTTCCGAACCCACGTCTGAAAAAAATCCTTGTGCCAGTACGACTGCTATGCCTCGGCATGTGAAAAGGAAGATCCTAGCAGCTAGTACAAGATTTGAAGTTGTATCAAAGGATGATGGCTATGGTTGTTGTATTTCGACTCTGACAAACCACCTCTCAAACCCTGAACCCTGCACCCCCAAAGAGCAACCCTAAACCCAAAACCCCTAAACCGTGAAGCCCCAAGAGCTGAAGTTTCGAGGATGCCAAGCTGGGCCTGGGTATCCTTCCCCTTTTGGAGGCGCTCTAACGCTCAAAGAGACGCATCCGTTTTTGTGTTTTCGGAAGGAGGGGGGTTGCTCATTGCAGATGTCAGGCCTGTCTTCAGAGACATTGGTATTCCGACTGGAATGCCTGGAGATCTCTTTACGATCTGCTGGTCTTCGTATTACCCCGACGGCGTTGCATCATTCACAAGTAAGGAAGCCGACTCGTGCCAGCCAAATACAGCAAGGAACCCGAGAAGCTAATCCGTAACTTGTCTGTGGCCCTGAACTCGCGATGTGCAAGCCTTGCCAGGAGCAATGTGGCCTTCAAGCCGGCAGCAACGAGGCCCCACATCTTGCCACCAGGTCACACGTAAGCTGAACCATCGTCTGAGGATCCTAAATGATTAATTGCAAGCATGCTTCTGCCATGCCGCATTTTATGCTTGGGTCTCGCTCCGCGACCGCAAGCGAGGATAGTAGGTTTTCGGCACTTTGAGACCGTGCGGTCGCAGGAGCATCACAGAGCGACATCATAGGACGAAGCTTGACGAGGGAACTTTGAACATCAAGTCTTCGTATCCCTAGAAAAGGAGCCATCGGAATAAGTCATTGAAGGGTCGTGTTATGTTTCTGTTGACGGTGCAGTTGCAATGCCGCAAAGCCTTTCGAGACTTTCGTAGGTCGTAGGTCCGATTCGTAGACGAAGCGAGCGGCTTATTGTACTCTACGGGTCAGCGCCATGGCACGGATGCGAGGCTTGCACGAGGCGCGCTCCTGCTTTAGTCCGTGGCCAGCTGGGCCTCCGGATTTGGAGCACCACGCTGTGACGCTGCACATCTACGATCTTCACCGACTAGTTCGTGGCTTGAACGAAAGCATTGCAGCGGCGGAACAGGCCACTTGGGTGACCGAGCAGCCCCGAAAGTGGCTTTACCAGCGATGGGATCCGGATGCACAGCTCCTTGTGCACGATCCGAGCCTACCGGGACTCTTGCACCAGGATGTCAAGATCCTGCTGGAGGCCATGAGCGAAGCGTTGAAGCAAGACCCAGCGGCCCTGAACCAGTTTACAGCCGAGAGGAAATTGGTGGAAAACATGCAGGGTGCCTCCGTAGCGTTCAAGGTGACGGTGGGCTTTCCGGGCCCTCCGTGCCAGATCCTGTACGAAGCATTTGCGAAGCTGGCAGGGCTAGCAGTCTTGCAGCTTATCGGAGCCAACATGCACAAGGAGAGGCAGAAACGTGGGCGAGAAGCGGAGGAGGTTCGCAATCTGACGTGGCGATCCGGCTCAGGCTTCGTAACCCAAGGGGAACCAACGCATGTTATGTAAATTCTACTTTTCTCCTTCTTGGGCATGCTTGGGCGCCGGAGGGTATGCCGCCTGCGGTGCTGGGCACTTGACTGCAGGCCTTGCTTGACTCGGACCGTCCTATCGTGCTTCGGGATCTTCCCCTCATCCAGGCTATGATGCGATTGTGGGCGAACCCGAATAGGCAGCATGACATTGCAGAGTTCTTTCCTCATTTCGTGTCATTCTGTCGCATGCGCTTTGAACAGGAGTGTTGGCAGACACGGGAAATCAGGGGACCAGTGCTTCGTGTGCTGGATGTCGGCTCGCTTCAGACGCCTATCCCCCTTCATATCCCTGCCACACGGGCGAATGGACGGGCACTCACTTTCCAGGATTGTGTTGAGCAGTTCTTCCGGGTTCAGGACCGCGGCTGTGCTCTTGCCTCAGTCGCGCCACTGCTCTGCCTCCAAATAAAAAGGTATGCGTTCAATGTGCGCACTGGAATCGTGCATAGGACCGTGACACCGGTTCAATTCGCTGAGCCCGTCCTCCAGGTGCCCATCTGGGAGGATGTCAGCACGCTGTGGACCACACAGGCTTGCTACCAACTCAGTGCACGGGCCTTCCACGAGGGACGGACCCCCTATGCTGGTCACTACATGTCACTACCATACCTGCCTGCTGCATCAGGGACGTCACTTTGTCACTGATGATGAAATGGGAGCACGCCTGATCAACCCTCAGCTGCTGAAAGTGGTGAGATCAAACTCGTATCTTTTGCTGTGTACACTTCAGCCCTCAGTCTGAAGCCAGGTGAGTTGAGGTTTATCCTCGCTTGCACTTGCACTTATGAGAATGAAGGTTTGATGAGGTTTACCCTCTCTCGCCTCATTCACGGGGTAGATTTTCACTCTTCACTTGCCTGGTAGAGGGTTCTCCTTGGCATACTTTGGAAAGGGGCATAGCTATCCCCTCATCTCTAGCTCACAGCTGCGCCCGTCCAAGGGGAAGGGGCAGCCTCTTGACTGCTCTGCGAGTCAAGTAGTTTGTGCAGCAGAAGCCTGCTTACTGTAGCAGTACGCTGCGGGGCTTTATGGCCGACGCTAGGCGAACTCACTGGTGGACTCTCCGCGTGTGAAGGAACTTTTCTCAAGGGCATGCCGGGATTCTATCACACGGGAGTCGAAGTTCATGGCCGCGAATGGAGTTTTTCAAGCAACGGCATTTTTGCATGCCACCCTCGGCACTTCGCATACAATCTCCGCAGGGAGTCTGTGATGCTGGGAACTATGGCTTTGTCGGAGAATGAGGCAAACATGCTCTTGGACCGTCTTGATTCAACATGGGTGGCTTCCGAGTACCACTGCATCCGGCCCAATTCCGTCGACTTCTCCGAGGCCTTCTGCGTGGCCCTGGGTGTTGCCCGGCCTCCTCGGAATTCACAGGCGTGCTTCTGCTTGCCAGCGAAGGAGGCGGCACACCGCGCGGACCTGAAGCGTGCCATCGCTGCGCGCGATTTCGTTGAAGGCTTGCGTGAGGCATGTGAGATTGGAGCCATGAGTCGCCAGAATTCCAGCCCAGTGAGCGCAAGGTTGCCGTCACTACTTGGCAGCCCCCAGGCTGGGGAAGCGACAACTTTAGCTGGCCAGGGTCTGCACAAGGAAAGCCCCGTGAGCAGCGGCGTGCAGGTCGCGACGCAGTTGCAGCTGCCGTTGGGCTGCCTGAAACGGTCGTCACAAGAGCCTGGTGCAGAGGAGCCTGGAGATCTGACCAGGCTGCAAAATCACTCTGCACGGAGGACGGCTTCAACACCATCCATCGACAGTCGCAGTAGTGAGAGTTTCGATGGCTCCGCTTCACATCCTTCAGCTTAAGAGCAAAATGGCAAGCGACGAGGTCGGTCCTCCACCGTGCGGCTGGGATTCAACAGCGACTGGGAGCTGGTTCGGGCGGCGGCCCGCACGCACAGGCAGATGAAAGCTGCGTGCCTGTACTTCCGGAACAAGAAGAGGGAGGACGTGCCCTGGCCAGGCAGCCAGGACCTGCGCTGGATGGACGACTGACTCTTCCATGTGAGATGAGATAGGCCAGCCCTCCGCCAGCAAAGTCTGTGACAGCCCAACACACGTGTGATGCCCCACACCTTGCAGACCTTGCAAGTGTTGTTTGTGCTCGACTGGGCGTCACATGTGTCACTTTTTGCAGTTGCAAGCGAAACCTTGAAACCTGATCTGGCAGGTCCGAGATGTGAGAGCACAAACCAGCCGCAACCATTGCAGACATGGTGTTGGCATCTACTGCACTTTGCCAATCAAGCCCGTCTCTCTCGGGACTGCCTGCTTAGCTTCCAGATTCCAGACGTTTTCATTCCGACAACAGCAGAGGTTTTTCCTCGAGTATTTTCAAGTCAGTGGTTGCAAACACTGCAGCAGCTGAGGGATCTGGGCAATGTGCACTGCAGCTTTTGTTCTCAAAAGCTTCCAGACGCTTGTCCGTTACCCCTACCCTGCCATTTCATACAGCCTACAGCAGCTCTCGTTGGCGGCAGTGGCAACCTTTTTGAGGCCTTCACGCAGTCCTGCCACCGGCGGTCGCGGACTCGGTTGCCAGCGGTTCACGGGTCAAGCTTGGCCGTGCGGTATGCCCGGTAACCCCGAATTTAGAACCTTATTGTAGATCCGTTATAGAACCCTTTAAAGATCCTTTTAAAGGAACCCTAATGAAATTATTCAGGCCCCCATAGTCGTCCGCAAAACCTCGGGCAACTATCAGCGGCTCTTGGCTTGCTAGCTGTACTTGAGCGCAGCTTTCAGAGTCATGGGCCCGCCGTCCTCCGAACCCGAGGCCTGAGGCCTTTCACCCTTACAGTGCCCTTATAGAGACCCCTTTCAACCCTACATCCCGAAAACCCCAGTGCCACTCTTAACCCTAAAACTTCCAACCTTGAGTGTCAGGTTCGGAAAGAGTCCTGCCAAGTGCTACGTGGAGCCAAAGATGGCGGCCAGGGAGCATTTCGAGATTCTGCACTCCTGTTGCCCTGTGCCCTGTGCACGTTCCCGAAAACCAAAAGGAAAGAACACGCAAGTGTACCAAAGGTTAGCTCTTGGCAGTTTTCTTTCCGTTGCCCAGCCCTTGAGTCGAAACGCCAGAGGTACGCTACAACACCAACCACTTCAGGGAGAAGAATATGGACATCATGCCGGCCGAGGTCGTCCAGGTGCCGGAAATTTTGGAAACCGACCTGTGCCCTCAGAGGTCTGCATATGCCTGCTGAGATGGGCCATCCCCTTATAGCCGCCCTAACCCCCAAGCGAGAGCGCCGCACGTTCAGCTCCTCCTCGGGAGCAGCAAAGCCTTCGTCCGGGAAACGATGCAAGGTGGGCTGTCGCATGCATCATGACTTCAAAGGAGGGTTTTGTCCAGGTGCATGGTTAAGGGTGTGGGGGTTTGTGCTGAGCTGATTTTGCCGGCTGGCGCCAGTATCATTGCTCTTCTTGCCACACTGTTAGCTTCGTCTTCCCTGCCTCAGCGGGCGTCAAGCAGGCTCCTTGAACGAGTCCGCTCCCACTGACAAGTGTTTGCCTCGGGATTGAGGGAGTTGCTGGGATGGCAAAGGTGACGGCCCGGAAGCAACGCAGAAGTTCAGCGTTTGCAGTGCGGGATTTCGGTGTTTGGTGGAATTTCGAATGTAAAGCTTTGCAGGTGCGATGGAGGCTTCTGGACTTTGGGGATTCGGACGTAGCTTCTGATTGAGCGACTTAGTCCAGCTGCAGGAAGAAGGTGACACTAACAGCGTTCACGTCCACTGCTGGGCTTTTCTGGCCCAGGTTCCAATGTTTTTGCACATGTTGCAAGTCTACTCGCTGCACTGCCCCAGCTATCTCCGGACCTAAGAATTAGATTTTCGTTGGCATAGTTTCTAAGGTGTATCAGTATCCTTGTTAGCACACGTTCCTGCTTCTACTCGTACCGAAATCTGATCATACCGCGGCTCATATTCGAGGTGTTGGTTTGTGATTGCGGCTAGCAGCGATTATCACATGTGCTTGGCGGCTGCTCATTGTCATTGCAATGATGGTCATGTTGTGACGGATTGCTGTTATCACTTGTTGTTTGCAAGCATCATCTCCATCACCGTTGCCGTCACAATCCACATCGCTGCTGCTGCTGCTGCTGCTGCTGTTGTTGCTGTAGCCACGACGATGACCATAACATAGGGGCCTGAATTTTTTACCAATATTTTGGTGGTTCCTCATCGTGAGTATTATAAGCAGTATAACCCAAAACTCTATTCTAATTATTAAGGCCCCTGCTGTGGTACCAGGCCAAAGAAGGGCTTCATCGCCGCACAGCTGCTGCGGTCCGTGTCTTCGCTGTTCACGCTGCCGGAGCCTCGTACATCGCATTGCTGGCATCGCGTCGCTGAAGGATTCTGGACGTCTTGTAGGACCGCAGTTGCACCTAGACTAATTAGTATGTCGAGCTGTTTGCAGCGCAATCTGTCACAAGGAGCCACTATGGTTCTTGTGTTGATGCTTGTCCCGGAAGTGATCTTGCTGGGAGATTGAGTTGCCAAGCCCAAATGCTGCAAGCCCTAACCCCTCAACCTAAACCTAACTCCGAAACCCTAAACTCTAGACGCTGGGCCTTAATCTTTTACCCCAAACCCAAACCTACGTTCCCTGAAAGCCCAACCCCAAAACCCTACACCCAAAGGTTTACGGAAGTACCCAGGGCCCTGAAGCAGCGAAAGCAGCTGAGGTTGCGATCCAGCGAGCCCAAGCGCGCCGCCAAGATTGCTTCGGCGTCGGCGCATTTCGGTGATAGTGGCATATGTGTTTGTGGAAGGTTCCGCTAAAGGCGTCTACCAAGGGCTTACCATTGCGAATTTTGGGGTTGCTGTAGCCATTAAGGCCCACATACTCCTTTCCTACTCATCAGGGTTCCTGATCGTACTCCGAAACCCTAAAGTAAGTCCAAGCGCTGCCATGTCACGTGAATTCTCGGATGACCACACACGGCCCGGTCGTGCCTGTTCTTTCTTCTCACGATTTTGTTCACAGATCGCTGTCAGGTTAAGACCTGGAACCAAAAGCCCCAGGGCCCTGAAGCCGTAAGACCCTGGAGCCCTAGAGCCCTAAACCCGAAATCACCCATAAACCCTAAACCCTAAACCCGAAATCACCCATAAACCCTAAACCCGAAATCACCCATAAACCCTAAACCCTAAACCCGAAATCACCCATAAACCCTAAACCCTAAACCCGAAATGACCCATAGCCTAGCCTCTAAAGATCTCTGGTCTCTGGGCTTGTGGCTTCAGGGCTGGTGCAGGGATTTGTGCAGTCTGCAGGCATTCCGAACGAGAACGATGCCTGGCTAAGGAATTATCAGACGATGGCCAGATGTTGCCAGATGATTGAGGAATACAAACTAAATCGAAGATTGATGTTTGCAGTGTTTCTTCCAGCTCAACATGGACGACTTCTCAGGAAGCTAGCATGCTTATCGAAGGGTTTCGTGGTTTGGGGTTTTTGGGTATCCATGCTGGTATGGCCGTGCCATCCGCAGGTTTGTCAAGTGTGTGAAGAGCAACAAGGAGAAGAAACCCATGGTCATGGAGGAGGACTCAGCGGCGTCTAATTCTCCTAATTTGCAGGGCATGTGCTGCCTAACCCCAGCCAAGCTGCCTAGATCCCCGGAGCGAGCCACGGGTCAAGCTTCAAGCATACCCGACATCGGGAGCCTGAAGATCACGAGGAGTGACACTTCTATACAGCTTCTGCAGGTAGCTAGAGGGAGGAGCCTTAGACCCAATAGCTCGAACTCCTGACCCTAGACTGAGAGCCCGAACCAGGGCCTAATCCGCGAATGCCAGAATTTGAGTGCACAGGAGACCGTCGTTAGCCAGCTCCACACTCTGAGCATCATCGAGCCCAGAACTGATCTTGCTTTGCTTCGGGCACGCAGTGGAGGGTTGGGGGGGGGTCTCAGGACTCTGGTGTTTCAGAGCCGACCAACCAACGGGCGTGACATTGCATTTGAGATTCTAGTTGCGTGATCCTCTGGTGTAGTGCATTGCATGAGATGACGGGACGAGCTAACCTGGGATTGAAGGGGACGTCTGGTGTGACTTGCAAACATCGATTCCATGTGCCTAAACCCTACACTCTAGCCTTAAATCCCAAATCCTAGACCCTACACCCTAAACCCTAGAGCTCCTGTTAGAGTATGTGATGATCAAGCAGGGTCTTGAAGTCGTAAGGAAGCATGAGGGTGCACCAGAGCTCCTTCCCTTGGAGGGATTCTGTCTGTTTTCTGGCAGTGGGAAAAAGGCGTTCAAACAAAACTATATCCTAGAGCCTTAACCCTAAACCCTAAATCCCAGACCCAAAACCCCAAAGCTCCTGAAGCACGAACCCCAGACCCTAAACCCTAGACCATAAATCCTAGACCCCAAAACCCCAAAGCTCCTGGAGCCCGAACCCCAAAATCGCTACGCTCTGCACGCGGACCGCGCGGAACTGCCGCTCAGGTCGCTGCAAACGGAGCGCCAGGGCTTTACTTACAAGAAGCTCTACAAGGAGCCCGGAGCCCAAGAAGTTGTCCCAAGAGTGAACTTAATTACTACTATTACATATGAGGGCCCAAGAGGATCCCAGCAGCGGGAAGGGTTTGAGGCCCCAGCACGTAGTGCCAGCCTAAAACGGCTGTTAGATCGCCTAATTGGCATCGGCGCTTGCGCGCCCGGCGCTCTGCGATACGAGCGCGGCTCAGGAAGGGGAGTCTACCGACCCCAGCCTGCCTCGGTGCTCTTGCTGGGCACCACGGGACTTGTCCCGCCTATCGGAGACGGCTGCAGCTCTTGATGGGACGAGGAGGCAAATGGAAGGACCAGTACCCGCAACATCGCGGGCAGTACGGAGGATACGACGGCAAGGACTCCAAGTACTGGGAATACTGGCGTGGACCCTGGTCGCCAGGGAAGGGGAACAATGCTTCGCCTACCCGTTACGATCAGGTGGATGTCGGACCCGCGAACAGGGAAGCGAGCTCTGGCAGCCGGCCGGAAAGTGGAGCTTTACCGGATGGGGACTCCCGCATCATGCAGGAGCTCCAGAAGACAGCAGCCCATGCTCGCAAGATGGACGCCCGGATCCGAAAAATCGAGGAAGAGAAGGCCTTGAAGACCAGGCAGTGGCATGCCTATGCGGCAGGGGTCAAAGCCAAGTTTGTCAAACAGAGACAGATGTTCGAGAAGGACATGGCAAGGTTGGAGCAAGAGACAGTGACGGCACTCGCTGCGGGACGAGACGCTGCGGACAAGGCAAGGCAACTGGTCTCCCATGGGATCCCAGAGCCGGATCAGGAGATGGACGCTACTGCCGGCAGAGCACAGTGGGAAGCCCTGATGCAACCTCCTCCGGCAGCAGAACCAGGGCCGCTGCTTGCACAGACTTTGGCGGCTGCTCAAGCCGGAAATCTGGCCGCGCCTTCTCGACAGCTTCGTCCCGAGATCCTCCACCAGCTACTTGGGATGCTTGGCCCCGCCATTGGTCCAGCTATGGGTTCAGCCTTTGGAGGTGCGCCACCTGTCCCAGATGGCATGCTCGCATACCATGCCGAGCCTCCGGAGGCGGCGGCTCCTCCAGGTTTGGACGAGAACCATGTGCCGGCTGCCCCCTTCTGCACAACATCACCAGGGCCAACACCGGTTGGCATGACAGATGTAAAGGCGTTCCCGGAGAGGGCTGTTCTCACTTCCCCACTACATCCAGGACAGAGGGACCCTGCACAGACCAGACAGCCGACCTCGCAAGCACCACCCCGGTCCGACATCAAATCAGCTTCCGTTGCCTCGACAGCGCCAACGCCCCCGCCGCAAGGACCCAGTTTGGCATCGAAGTTGGAGACCAGGAGGGAGCAAGAACGGCGGGCTATGCTCCCCTTTGGGGGCGGCGGCCCAAGACCGGAAGCAGCGAGGAACTCACTGTTCATGGAAGACGACCCGGACTTGGAGATCCAGGCCCAGGCGGTTCAGGCGGCCCAGACCGAAGCAGGACTACACGGACTTTCCTGACCGTAGTGGAGGAGTCCCGATCGCTGGCTTTGGCGCCCTGTGAGAGCCACAGGCTGTGGAACCCAGAGGTCAGTCGACTGATGGAAGTCGGCTTTCCCAAGCAGTTCCCCGGTCAATGTGCCTTTCACATGGCGGCCGAGCTCGCTGGCCGTGGATTCCTCCAGTGTACAGAGGACAGCTGTACAGAATGGGTTTTTGAAGTGCCCCTGTGGACCCCGATCTCCGGCGGATTCTGCAACCTCCATCTTGCCCATGGCTTCGTTGCCTGCTGGGACCTGGCCGGATCACCTTGGGCTTTGGTGTATACGGTCCAGGTCTCAGCCTCCTCCTCTGCCGACCGCAAAGACATTGGATTTACATGTTTTTGTGGTTCGGCCCCGCCAAGATTGCACGGTCCAGACTGGTCCGCTACTTGCCAACCTAACAGAAGTGTGCCTAATAACTACATCGGTGGCTCTGGGGTAGTAACCTTCTGTTGGGAAAGGGCTCGCACTAGTGGTTGTCCCCGTCCAGTGCCACGCAGGCTTCGCGCTGACTGGCGTACCGCCTTGACAGTTTTGCCTTGCTGGTTTTTGAGAGCAGACTCACACGATATTCAGCCCGAGTCTGGCAGTTTTCTATGTTCGAAAGAAGGAAGTGTGCCTAATAACGACATCGGTGGCTCTGGGGTCGTAACCTTCCATTTTGTTTCCTTTCGGACTCCTCTTCGGCTTGACCACTTTGGACTCCTTCCTTTCGCATCTGGAGGAGTAACAGATAGTTTCTGCTGTTCGTTCCGTTCCATTCCCCCTGGAGGTATGGATCGGGCAAGGGCCACCACTTGCACTACGAAGAACCTCTCCGGTTCCTGTGAGGAAAGACCTACGCATCTTCCTGCTATGGAGCACGATGTCGGTTTGCATTTCCCTCAAAGCCACTCCCCCGGCTGGATCCCAGATGTTTGCCTTCCCTTCTTCCGCACACTCTGGATCTGTCTTTTCTGCGCTCTCTTGCAGTTGGGTGCGCGCCCACTTCTGACCGGCAGACATCCTTGGTTTCCGCGATGCAGGAACACAGGCATCGGCTTCAGCCGTTCGGTCTTCCAGGTATGCCAGGGTTTCAGAGGTGGCGGCAGCTTCCTCCAATGGGAGCCAGTTTTGCAGGAACCAAGCCACTCGAAGTGCCGTGAGGCCCCAATGCCCATGCACCGAGCCTTCTCCTCCCCCTTTTGGTTTAGACCCCTTGTTTTTCTGTTCTTGGGTTTAGGCTCCCTACCAGTTCCTGTACAGGCCGTTCCGGGCCTGTCCTGTACATGGGTCCTTGCGACCGGCGCTGCTGCAATGGGCAGGCCTCCTCATCCGGACGAGCCTCCTGGACATCATCTAAGCCTCCGGCGACCGCAGCTCATCCCAGCCGACGAGCTCACAGCACACGTGGGCTCGTGCCACAACGATCTCCCATGGGACCGACCGGTTCTGCCTGAACAACGCAAATGCCTCCGGTTCGAAGGCCCGCTTCCCTGCCCCGACCCAGGGCCTGACATTGTACCAGACCCAGGTTGGCTTGGCGTGATAGTGTATACGCCGCACTACAAAGCAGAGACACTAGCCTAGCAGTCAAGCCGACGTGCCGAGACCCCCATGAGGTCATCACCCTCGTGTCGGAGGTTGCTTCCGGAGTTCCACATGGACTCTTCAATGTCTATGTGCCCATTCTGCCACAACGTTTTGCCTCCTATGCGTCCTTTATTCGGGTGCCTAGGGCCATTCAGGGTTGTGGTGATGCAGGATGGGCTGCCATCATCTTGGATCTTACAAGGGTAGGGGGTCGATATTTTCCTACCATTCTTCCAAGACGAATTGCGGTGCAGGCATTGCTCGATTTCGTGACTCCGCTCACTTGGCATGACGAGGCACCACTCATCTTTTATGTCGGATGTCAAGAACAACCGTGGCCGGAACATGATGAAGTGCAGTTGAACGATGGCCTCGCAATTACCTTCTCCAGATCTCCCGAAGCCAGGTTTCCACGCATCAGGTACGAAGGTCTTTTCACTCCAGAGGCTGTTTGGGGACCTTTGCACCATTTCCCAACTGTGGAGACTGCCGAAGGGGTGTGCGCTTTGTATCGGGATCAGCGGTACACCTTTTTGCATCATCACCATCCCGGTGAGACATCCGTTGATTTCTTGCTCCAGAGGTTACAAATCGACCCACATAGGGTTACTACCTGTGCATTCCCGATTCACGACCTTGATGTGCAAGGAGATCATTGTCCCTTTGTCGTTGCTATCGCTGATACAGCCCCACCTGGGTTTCTGCCACGACAGCAAGTCCGGGACATCTTCCTGCTGTTGGACTTCAGACCACTCGGCCTGAAACCGAGGTTTGTGTACACCAACTTCCCCGCGGTGCACGTACCTAGCCTCATTGTCCAGTTTGACCTCGCCCTGCAACCGGTCTATCGTGTGGCGGTGATAGGAGGTGAACGTAAAGGAGACGACATCCATGTCGATGGCAGTTGCACCCTCCTCTTCTATGCTGAAGAGGTTGGCCTTCCTTCCCGACCAGACAACTCGGGATCGTCTCAAAGCAGCAGCTCCACCTTGGGCGCTGACTCGGATCAGGCCGTCGCTTCTGAACATGGGAACTCTGTCCCTCCCGACATTGTCCTTACACATGAGGACGCCACCCTTCCCGCCGGACATAGCTGGAACGCTGGCACGCACCCGCCAGCTCCTCCAGTTCTGCAAGGAGCACCAACTTTCACTGCACAATGGTCCCCTCTGTGGGAAGCGCTTGTTGGCCCGGTTGATAGCCCAGCCATGGATGTCGACTCAGGACCTGTTGGTCCTCTGCCTGAGACCGGCTCCACCACCAACCAGGTCAATCATCCAGGTCAGAACTCCCAAGAAGCGTTCGACATGCATGGTAATCCAGCTGACGCCTCTATGGGCCCTGTCCCTGTGGTGGCAGGGTCGAGTGACCCCGAACGGCGAGAACTCACGGCATTGGTCTACACTCCGCATCTTATGCCTGAGATGTGTCACGTTGCGGTCACTTTCCCGTGTAGCGTCGCAGAGCTTTTTCGTGCGGTGAAGGAGGATAGAGCTGAGGACAGAGACATTGCGTTCCCCCAGCTATACGCCGCTACTCCGCAGCCATATCCCGAACATGCGCTATTACTGGCGGCGCCTCAGTGGCTACAGCATGAGATAGTCGTCTTGTTGGACACCAGGAGAGTCAACCAATGCCTACAAGCTGCTTATGCCCCGTGCCGACCCAACCGTGAGTCTCTACTGCACCTGTGTGACCTGGACCCAAGAGAGGACTATAGCGTTTTTCTGCACGGATTGGTTCAGCCTCTTTTTCGGGGTCAGCGCGTCACGCTTGTAAGCGGCATGACCGTTACTGTGCTTCCTGCAGGCACCGGGGCCCCAGCGGGTGGAGACTTGGCCACTCACCTGCAGCACTCGGATGGATGGGACTGCCGTGCTTTCCCTTTCGGTCCGGACGCTTTTCCAGGCA